TTACCCCCGTCTCGGAATCCACGGTCAGAGGTGGGGTAGTGGTGGCGGCCCCCCCTAGAATTGCATACAGCTCAGCATAGAAGCGGCATGTCTGTGGCTCTGACCCGGAGCGACTGTTTGCCTCCTTTATTTTTTGATAGGCTTGTCTGAGCTCCTTAACTTTCACGCAGCACTGATATGAGTGCCTATTGTGGCCTCTCTCCATCATGTCCTTGGAGATTTTTTCAAAAGTTTTGGCATTTCGTCTTTGGAACGTAGTTCTGCTAGCACTGAATCCTCTCCCCATATAGCGATCAGATCCAGTACCTCCCGTACGGTCCATGATGGTGCTCTTTTTCGATTCTCGCACTGCATAGTTACCTGTGCTGATGACTCTGCATGGTCACCTGTGCTCTCCACGCTGGGCAAACAGGAAATGAAATTCAAAAGTTTGTGGCTTTTCCTGTCTACCTGGCCAGTGCATCCAAGTTCAGATTGCTGTCCAGAGCGGTCACAATAGTGCACTGTGGGATAGTTCCCGGAGGCCAATACCATCGAATTGCGGCCACACTAACCCTAATTCAAAATGGCAATATTGATTTCGGCGCTACTCCCCTCGTCGGGGAGGAGTACAGAAATCAATTTTAAGAGCCCTTTATTTCGAAGTAAATGGCTTTGTTGTGTGGATGCATGCAGGGTTAGTTCGATTTAATGCTGCTAAATTCGAATTAAACTCATAGTGTAGACCAGGCCTTAGAGGTGTTTTACAGAAAGAATCTGTAAGATTTAGACATAAATGGACATGAGGAGTCAGAGATGTCAGAGTCCAAGATGATGCCCTGGTTATGGATTTGAGTGGACAGGTAGAATGGTGGTGATGTCCTCAATGATCAAGAAAGGAGATAGCAAGAAGGATTTTCTGGAAAGGGAAAGGAAAAGATTAAGAACTCTGTTTTAGCCATGTTGAGCTTGTGCTGACAGATATGAGGAGATGTCACCAAGCATAAGAACTTCTTGGACCAGATCCTGGGCCCATGGGTGTTCTAGGCTGCCAACACTTCCACATCACCATCAGAAGCTCAGGCTGGGTTTCTTCTAAGGAAGTCTGTGAAGCTGCATGCTGCAGGATGTGCACCCAGAAGGGCCTGAGTGGTAGCCCCCCACAGCCCACTGATTGGCTCATGCTGGTATATAAACCAAGAAGTCATCATAGCAAGCTGTCTGAGCAATGATGCAAACTATTTGCTTGCTTCTGCTCCAGACCTTGCCTTGCTGTGAGCCACAGACTCTGCTACTTGCCTCCTCCATGCAACTCAGCACCTGACCCTGCCTGACCTGACCCTGACTTTGCTACTTGCCTTCTGTCTGCAACTCAATTCCTGACCCTAACTTCCTAACATCTTGACCTGGCTTGACCCAACTCTGCTACTCATCTCCTGACTGCAACTTGGTAACTGATCCATACATGCAGGCTGTCCCAGGCCCAGCCCTGACACTGAGACAGGCTGAGATTTTAGTTTGGACAGAAAGAGACAGGTCTGGAGCAAAGAGGTACATCTCTAAGGGCTAGTCTACACTGGCAATGTTAAAGCACTGCCATGGCTCTTCCAGAGCTCTAAAAAAACCACCTCCATGAGGGGCATAGCTTCCAGCGCTGGGAGCCATGCTCCCAGTGCTGGTGCACTGTCTACACTGGTGCTTTACAGTGCTGAAACTTGCTGCGCTCAGGGGGTGTTTTTAGTTGCAACGCTGTAAAGTGCCAGTGTAGACAAGCCCTAAGTTGTAGAGATAGTAGTTAAATTTGTGTTTGTGGATGAAATTACCCAAAGTAAAGATATGGTGTAGAGGGAGAATAGAAGAAGACAAAGGACAGAGCCCTGTTTGGAACCCTCAGAGAAAGCTGAGGATATCCTCCAAAGGACCCTCTGCAGGAGCAATTAGAGAGGTAGGAGGACAACCAGGAGAGAGCAGAGTCATAGAAGCCAAGGGAGGACAAGATTTCAAGAAGAAGAGTATGGTTGACTCTGTCGAAGGTGGCTAACTGGTCAAAGAGAATGATCCTCAGCTTTGGCTAAAAGGTCATCTGTAAAATTATGATAATACTTCCCTACATCCCAGGAGTGTTTAGAGGCTTAATTATTATTATTTTTTGAAGCCCTCAGTTCTTCATTTGAAATCCATTATAGAAACAAAAAATATTGTATAATTATTAAAAATAATTAAGATCCTACATGCCTAAATTTTCCAAACCCTCTAACTTTGTCACCCACAGTTCTGCAAAAACTCACATTTTTGAGTGCAAATGCTTCTATACATGAAAACTAAGCAGCCAGACCTCTAACTGCTTGACAGTACTGCAAGCACTATATGTGTGTGCAAGATCCACAAGCAGTTATGTGTGTAATATTGTCAGAGCAAATGTGGCATCTGTGCTGAGGGCACTTTGAAAATTTGGCTCATATTATTTTGGGCTTTGCTGATAAAGAGCCAGTAGAGGGAGCATGAGTGTTTTACACTTAAATCAAATGGGATAAGAAATACAGTCAAAACTACTAGTATGCTGTGAGGCAAAGTGCCCATTTCCTGAAGCTGAAAAAAGTACCTTTGCTCATAAGTCATCTGTAAGAATTTTGCAGTAAGAATCACTTGACCAAGAAGGACCGTCTCATAAGTGACGCTCATCAGCTTTCCAGGAGTACATTACTGTATTGTCTATCACTGTGCCCATTAATACTGACATCTGGAAAAGATTTTTAAGGTACTTTTCAAATAAGTTAGGGCTCTGGGGGTTAATAGGCCACTGGAGGGCTTTTGTGTGTCTTCTGGTGAGGTTTAGGATTTGGTCAAATAGCTCATCTCACAACTTCTTGTGGCCAAAGGTCCTGCTGCCTGCTCAGCATGGCTTAGGTGCAGGCAGCCAGCTGGTACGGAACTTACTCCATAGCTGAATCTGGTCCAAAGATCTTTATTGAGTTTTCAAAAATGCATCACACTGGCACACGCAGTAAACCCTCTGTTCTTCAACAGGTTCCTAAAAAAACTACCTTATCCTGCCATATGTTCTCCAGGCTGCTAACCATCATCATATACTGGATTACAACAGAGTATGAATTAAATTAAAAGCAAACATCTGAGACACAACACAAACATTTGAAATTAAGACATGTAATCAGGATTGCGCTGCAGAGATAACTTGCCTGAAGCAACAAATACTCATCTAAGGGAACCTTGAATATTAAAAGAAAATAACATTTTATATAAAAAAATCATAACAAACCCCTTTGAAGTTATTCTTTATCACTTGCCTAAGAAGATCAACTCTTCTCTCTTTTCAATCTCCTACTATAAGTTGGTCAACAAAGTGAATTGCATCCTCTAGAGTGAAAAAGCAATGAGGTCTGGCCTCTTGTAATAATATTGGGTCTTACCAGAAACAATGGGCCATATCTATGTAAAATGGATCATGAGTGTTTATTGGTTGTAGTAAAAAAAACCCTCTGGCTTTTTAACTAACGCTACAGTAAAATCATGTGTTAACATCACAGTTTGTGGAATCTTATGAGTGCTGTGTGTCTTAATTAACAATCCTATTCTCAGAGCTGTACAGACATTAATGATGGTGCTGATTCACCAACAAGGAAACAAATCTATGGAGAAACATGTTGGTTTATGCTGCATTTGGATGTGCTGGAGGGAACCTATGTTTGTCAAATTGAATAGGACAAAATTAGCATAGAAATACATTTATTTTTTTCCAAGCTTTTGCAACAGTGCTAACTGAGTGCAAAACACTACTATTATGTTCACGGCATACACACAGAGAAATTAAATAAAAACATAGATTCTCTTGCAGGAAGGTTGCAGCATCGCACTTCATTTTTGAGACTACAGAATGATAATACTCAAGAACCTGAAAACAGACTGTGCCCAAAGGCAGCAAGGCACAGTTCACCCGGCCTTGCTTTAAGCTGGCTCGGTCCAGAATGACATTGATGGTACACTTTGCTCCAGACCTCCCTAGCCAGCAAGCAGGACTAGGATCCCCCCTCTACCACTACCACTCAGACTGATAGCTTGTGATTCCAACACAGTCTTCAATACACTAAAACTACCAGATCAGAATGCAGTAGTATAGTCAAGGGTAAACAAAGTTTACACACTTCTCATTGGGGAATATGGAGTGTAGGTGAGTTTACCCTTTATTTATTTATTTATTTTTGTGCCACCACACCACTGCCAGAATGTTAGCATTTCACACCAGCCTTGCCCTAGTATAACTGGTTAAATGAGTAGTAGGATATTAGTGAGTCAGGTTCTTTGTATTTAGCATTTATTCTTCATGTTCATCAACAACCTGTGAATGATCATAATTTTTTTTTGTGAACACTGGCAGTGCATGTGGAGCTGTACAATCCATGCATAAAGGAAGTCTGAGTCCCTATCTTAAGAACCTTGTACTCTAAAATGAAATGAAAGACAGACATAATGGCATTTAGACAGCAAAGCTGTAAAAGTACCAGTGTCCAGATTATATTTCCTGAGACCCTTGGGGATCTACAAGGTTTGGGGAAAATCCCACTACCTGTTCTCCTGGGACTTAAACCCTGTCCCTGATAGGAAGATGTGGGGGAGGCAATCTCTATGAAGGGATCCTTACAGTAACATTCTCCATCAGAGTCCCTTCCTGCAGATTTTACTGTGGGAGTGGATCATCCATCCCCACGCTATAAGGGCAGGTCTCTAAGTGGTGTAAATTTCTTATTTATAAAATATATAAATGGATTATTGTTTAAAGACTCCATGGAAGAAGTGTGTTTTAAGGAGAGGTCTGAGAAAGTGATGGTGGATGTTTGGCCACTCTAATATACTCGATAACTTTAAATAAAGGGGGGGCAGACTAATCATAATCAATTTCTACAGTGATTGGTGAGAACTGCCTTCTTGAATTAAGTGGTTTATTAATGCTAAACACACTGTGACAAATGTTAACTCTACAAGCAAAAGTGCATTTTCCCCTCTAGACTCTACAGAGTTGTTTTCAAGAGCAGCTGAGGCTCAAGGCCCAGGTGAGACTTCTGGAGTATCGTGTGAAACAGCAGCAGGTAAAAATTGTGCGGCTCTTACAGGAGAAGGAGATTCAATACCATGACAATGGAGATGAAAACAGTGTTATTGACCTGGGAGAAAAAAGACAATACGCAGGTCAGAATTTATTTCTTCTTTTCACATTGTGTCTATTTGAACTAGTGTATATATGTTTCCATGGCCAGTTCAACTGAGACTCCAGCATTACAGTCATGCTTTAAAATTCCCCCAAGAAACTGTCCCACCAAGACATAGCATTCAGCTGTTATCCAGGCCTTTGTTGTCTTGAGATCAGATTGTGCAATGCATTCTACATGGAGCTACACCTTGAAATGGTCCAGAAACTGAAGTTGGTGCAGAATGTTCCAGCATGCTTTTTAAAATGAAATCTTGCCAGGAACATATTACACCTGTGCTCTAGATCTGTACTAGCTACCTGTTGGTTTCTGAGTAGATTTTAAGGTGATAATCTTAGACTTTAAGGTAACCTATAGAACCTAAGAAGCCTGACAGTTACCTATCCAAGAATCTACCTCTCCCCCATTGTGTTACTGCTACAGCTGCAGTGAATGATGGCATTCAAGATGGAGCTTCCCTCAGTATAAAATAAAAAGGGCTGTTTTCCATGAGGGCCCCACAATTTTGGACCTCACTTCCCACCATCTCAGTCCAAAGCTGCTGTTCTGTTGACATTAAAATTCTAAACCAGGTGAAACGCTAATAAAAAAAATGTAATGAAGATATACCTATTTCATAGAGCTAGAAGGGACTCTGAAAGGTCATGGAGTCCAGCCCCCTGCCTTCACTAGCAGGACCAGTATTGATATTTTCCCCAGATTCTTAAGTGGCCCCTTCAAGGATTGAACTCACAACCTTTAGTTTAGCAAGGCAATACTCAAACCACTGAGCTATCCCTCACCCATATCAGTAGGAAAAGAATTTTCCATACTTTAAAAAACAAGATACAAATAAAAGAATTTAAAAAAAACCCATAGCTATGGTCCATTGTTTAGAGCCACATTCTTTAGGAATATAAACAGAGCCTGAGCTAAGAGACTGAAGAGAAAGGGCAAAGCCCTTTCAAACATGTTTTTAATAATATTTTTTTCAGCTGATGAATGAGTCTAACTCCCAACTGTTTTCAATTTAATTTTAAGAACACCCAGCAATGCAATACTATATGTCTTGATTTCTTCCAGAAGCATAGACACTAGCAGCTCAACCAGGACACATGAAGCAAGACCACATAGAACAATAAAAGTTAATAAAACTTTAGAATCCTATTACTGGATGACCAGAAGCCAGTACAGACTTCATATAACTTTTATTTGTATTCGTGACCTTATATTTAGTTTGGCTGATGATTTCATTATTCAACTAGATTCTGGGCTCTGCTCCAGCTGCTTTGTGCCAGCAGATCTAGCCCCTGCAGGATCCTCCCCACAAGTGCTATACAGCTACAATGGTAGGAACAGGACTACCTCTAGCATTGAAGAACACAAAGGTGACTTAAAGCCACAATTTCATAAACCGTCCTGCCCTGTGCTGAGCTGAGCTCAGCTGGAATGGAGGATTTGATCCTCTGATTTTTGCTACCTTAAGGGTATTGTTAAAATGAGACATAAATAACAGATAGTCAGCTAGGACTGCCACTTTTCTAATGGCTGGTAACCGGACCCTCAAGGCCCTGCACCCGTCTCTGCCTCTTGCCCCCAAGGCCCTGCCCCATCATTCACCCCTCTCTCGCCTTCCTCCTGTAGGATTGCTGCTTCTGAGGTACATCTGCTCACACATCCTAGGGGTAATAAGCACAATCTGCACACACACAGGGGGCTTTTCATTTACACTCAATTGAATTTTTTCATTTCCACACACATGCAGACAGTGGGAAGTTTGCTTCATTAGCACACTGGTTCTGGGGAGCAGGGGAAGAGAGCTCCCCCTTTGCACATACAGCTGAGGTGAAAGGGAGGACTCCCCCTCCATTTACATGGATGCCTAGATTGGAGGAGAGACTCCACTTATTTGCACTAGTACCTAAGAGAGAAGAAGGTTCCACCCACTTGCACACACAGTGGATGTGTGGAAGGAAGAGAAACAGGTGCTCCCCCATTTGCAGCACACCCACCCAGTTCCTGTGACCCGCCAAACTCCAGGTTGAGAAACTTTCCGAACTTTCCCCAGTTGGGCTGTTGGGAGAGGGTGGGGGAGGGAGGGAGGGCTGCGGGCTGTGATTCGCTGAGTGGCAGGGCGCTCAGCTATGATTGGCTGAGCTCTGTCCCCCTCCTCACGAGGGTGGCGTGCATTCTCTGGGTAAGCATCTCTCAAATCAGCAGTGAGCAAGTTTTCAAAGATCAAAAAAATCGGACATCAAGGCTTGTGAAATGGTACCTGGACACACAAGCTGAAACCCGGACTGTCCGGGTGAAATCCAGATGGGTGGCAATCTTATAGTCAGCTAACAGAAACCTCAGGTTTCTTCCTTTCACCCTTCATGGCCTGCTAAATCTGTCTAATATTAGCCAAGTCTAGACAAACACTAACACATGTCAACCAATTACCATCTCCAGTCCCACTGAAGGAGGAGTGAAAGACTAGGAAGGACAGTGGACATAGACCACCATACAATGACTAAATCACTGAAAATATTTTAAAAAGTGTAGTTAGAGACCAGATTTCCAAAGGTATTTAAGAGCTTAGGGATGCCAATAGGCACCTAATAGTATTTCCAAAGGTGCCTATCCAGGTTAGATGCCTAATTCCCATTGAAAGTCAGTGTTAGACACCTAACCTGCTTAAGGGCTTGTGAAAATCCCACAAGGCACTAATCTGCATCTTTAGGCACTTAAATGCCTTTGTAAACCTGGCTGAACGTGAATATGAATGCCCAATTGTCCGTACAGATGAGATTTTTTTTTCAATTAAGAGCCTGATCTAAGTGCATCCTGTAACTGTTATTATTTTTTGTCTTAAAGTAGCATCTAGAGGCCCTAACTGAGAGCAGGGCCTCATTGTGTTAGGCACTGTACATAAACCTCATAAAGCTATGCAGAGCTTGCACTTTAAATGGACGAGACAAAAAGTGGATGAAAGAAAGGCAGTGCTGAGTACCCTGAACTCCCACTGAAGTAAATCAGCAGGGTCTCTCAGCACAATTATAGGATTGGGCCCCATTTCATTATCTCTTCTAATATTCAGAGCGCCATATTTCACACATTATTGCCACATTAACTAGCAAGATATGGAGAACTTAATTATTGTTGGGTTTTTGTCATCTCTGGTACTATAAAGAAAAAGCCCCAAACATATCCCTCCCTTTCCCCATTTGTCCTGTCAACAATGCATCACATTCATTATTAAAACCATTCTGCCAGTGGAAGCAACCCATGCTGGGTGTGAAGCTCTGGTTTTGATCTAACCTCTATAATGCTTACAGGACAGTGAGACTCTTTTAGGGCCTGAAAAATATTGTTACAGCTGAAGGGCATTTTAAGGTGGATAACACACCCATGAGAAGATATCTTAAAATGTTATAAATTGTCAGCCACTTGTTCTAGTCCAAGGCACCATATTAGCAGTCAAGGGTTCAAAAAGAGAAAAGTTTAATCACAGATTCATATTGAATATCTTCTGTTTCTATAAAAGATGAAGCTACTTTGATAGTTTTAAAGACATTTGTGTTGTAAGAGTACAGCAGGTTTGTTGCAATTCTGAATAAAATCTTCTCTTCCTTCTGTCACTACCTGATAGGGTGACCAGACAGCAAGTGTGAAAAATCGGGACAGGGGCTGGGGGGTAATAGGATCCTATATAAGAAAAAGACCCCAAAATTGGGACTATCCCTATAAAATTGGGACATCTGGTCACCCTACTACCTGAGTCCTAAAGGGCCAAATCTATCCATAATGTAGATCCATTGACATCAATGGAATTATACCAAGAGTGAATTTAGTCCAGTGTGCCCAATATGCTCTCCTCTCTGCATGCTTCTGTCTCCACTGTTCAGCTACAGTTTCCCCATATCAGGGGAAGAATCAATACAGACCAAGCAGTTTCTTAGACAGGAAGGTTTGGATGCTTGGATAACTGAATTTCCAGTATATATATTCCATCCTACAGCATGACATGCCTTCTTATAATAAAGGCATGTCCTCCTCCCTGTGCCAACCCCTAAAACCCAGATTTCACCCCACAGTATCTGGGGGAGAATCTCCCTTCCTGCAATACTATTGGCCCCTTTATACAGGAGTAAAGGTCACTGAATTGCTGTATTTATTAAGAGTAATATCATTGTTGGTGGAGGTGGTTATGTATTTGTATAGCATCCACAGTTCACAGGGCACTTCACAGAAAAGTGAGGCGGTAAGGTCCTTGCCCCACAGGGCCCAAACCCAATCCAGCTCTATAGTCATGCACAGGCATCTTCAAGGAGCTGAGCGCCATCATGCACAGTGGATGCAACTGGTGTTAGGTCGTCAAATCCTGCTCTTCCACCTGCGTAGAAGAGGAGGCAGGATTTTCCTTTTACTAAAAAGTAATGTAAATTAAGGGAGTTAGGTGCCAGTTCAGCCAAACACTTAAGCATGTGCTTAAAATTAAGCACATTCTTAAGTACTTTGCAGACTTGGGACTCTGCCGAGAAAATCATGAGTGTTTGAAAATTTGAGGCTATACTCTAAACTAGTGAAACATTCTTTACATTCCTCCCATCGACTGGCTTAGATCTTATTTACATTACTTTTTTCTACTATAGTCTGTTCAAATCCTAGCACAGTAATTTGTTTTCAGTATAAACTGTTTATTTTCTGGTCTAAAATGCACTGGGGCTTTCACAAGGGAGAAAGAAAATAGTTCAGAATGTTCTAAACTGGCCAGCAAATGCAATTAAAAAAAAATGTTGGCTGAATCCCAGCCAATGTGTTGATAAAGTTCTGAGAGGTAAATCTTACAGTTAATCACCTCTACCTTTGCCAGGAAAAACAGAAAGAGTTGAAAATTATACATCTTTCCTGTGTAACTGACAGCTTGATGGTAGATTAGATATAAACAAAGAACTCCTTTCATATAAAAATTAACTCCTACGAGGAAAAAAGATTATAGAATTATATAATTATTGTGCATTCATTGGGCCCGATTCTCCCGTTGCCCTGAACTTTAGTCAGTCACTTATACCAATGCAAAATAAGAGCAAAATAGTATAAAATCACATGGGAACATTTTACACACTGGAGTAAGTGAGTTTGGACTTATTTTGTAAAAGGTGTAATAGTGTACCAGGTTCAATGTTTGTTATTTTTCTCCTAACAGTGATGATTCCGTCCTGCTGTTTGTGGCTATATTACAATGAGCAAAATTCTGTAGCCCCCTCAGTACATGGAAATCCCACTGAAGTTAGTGGGTGTTTTTATATTTGGGGAGGCTGTACAAACATGTAATTATGGTAATTGATGAAAATGATAAAAATACAAAGATAATATGCAAGTTTTATATTTTTACCATACATTGATTATGTTGATAAAGGTCCCTCTTTGGGAAGCTTGTTTTTACTAATAAGTACAGGACCTAAAAAATCTGTTTTCAACTGATATTTTGAAAGCAGATTGTGCAGAGATCTACAACGATGGACATAAACGCAGTGGATTTTACAAGATGAAACCTCTTCAGAGCCCTAGTGCGTTCCTCGCCTACTGTGACATGTCAGAAGGGGGAGGCTGGACTGTTTTTCAGAGACGTTCTGATGGCAGCCAGAAATTTGATAGGTAGGTTATGGAGCCAGCAGTTATAATTACAAACAAATCGCAGGCATCCAAGGCCAGGGGGGACCAAGTTAAACATTAACTCTAAAGCTATCCCTGTAAGGGACTATCAGCGGTGAAAAGAGAGGGATGATGATTTTGTATGTAAGTCACCAGACTGGAATGCCAAAGTTCTTGGTTCAACTCCTGACTTTGCCTCAGACTCTGTGTGGCCCTGGGTAAATTATTTAGGCTCAATTTAAAGTAGTTAAGAATGAACCCAACATTTAAGCATCTTTTAACAACAATCCACTGAAGCCCTTGAGACTACACCTGTGCTTTAAACAGGCACATATTTAAGTATCTTGTTGAATTAGGGTCTTAATTTATTTGTTCCTCATTTGTAAAACAGGGATAATAGTAACTACCTCACAGTGTTGCAAGGATAAAATCAATAATGTTTGAGGTGCTCTGATACTGTGATGACGCAGGGGTATGTAAGTATCTGGATGCTGTACCTAGGAAACGGGACAATATACCGAAATTGGATTTATGAGCTGCTGTTCCTTTCTCCATTTATCCTGTCCAAATGAATTCTGGCTATATCCTCTCTAATTAGAACACCCACTGATTATCAGGAACACTGGCCTAATTATTTGTAGTTAACACTACAGACACATTAAATTCTAACCATAGTAGGCCACAGCAAAAATGGTCATTTGCTACACTGGGGTATTTTCTTTTACAGCAGTATTTGTGGTAATTCAGATGTTCATAGCACCACTGTCCCACTGTGTGTAGTAACTAAGTTCATTTTCATGTCATTAATAAGCACTGCCATAGTATTTGACATGTTTAGAGTTCTATGCAAATACTAAAGTAGGGAATCCTTTAAAAAAAACTCTGTAAGGCAGGTAAGTATATATTAAAAATAGTTGGAAAATGGGGGAGGAGAGAGTGTTCTGTGGAAAACCTGGTCTTTTCAGCAAAAAAATGAAAACCAAAATACACCTCTACCCCAATATAATGCTACCCGATATAACACGAATTCAGATATAATGCAGTAAAGCAGTGCTCCGGGGGGTGGGGCTGCGCACTCGGGCGGATCAAAGCAAGTTCGATATAACATGGCTTCACCTATAACGCGGTAAGATTTCTTGGCTCCCAAGGACAGCATTATATCGGGGTAGAGGTGTAGTTTGATTCAGAAATGATGTTTCAGTGCCCCATAGGAGTGGTAATTCAGGTTCCTCATGCTTCTGTTCTCCTCTGTAGGCCAAGCTCCTGGGTTGGGCTACATCTCCCATGATGTACCACAGGAATTAGGGAATCCCTGGCTGTGATGCATCATGGGAGGTGGAGTCTGGCTGGGGAGCCCAACATATAGAGGAGAATGGGAACACGAGGCAACTGAACTACAACTCTCATGAGTCACCATGGTGGCATATCTGAAACAAAATATTTATGTACTTGGCTGAAATATTTCAATTTTTGGCTGAAAAACAAAATCTCATTGGTTTTCAGGCATTTTTTTGTGTGCATGGGTTTTCAGGGTTGGCGAGTTGTATGGGCCCATGGTGCCCGTGCTCCAGCAAAATTCAGGGCCGCGGGGGCCTGACTCCACCAATGTTTGGGGCTGGGTCTCTCCCCCGGCCCACCTGCCACCCCTGCCTGCCTCCCTGGAGTGTCCCTGCCTCACCTGCCCCTGGGCAGAGGGGGGTGGCTGCCCCCTGCAGCTCCGCGCTGCACTCCCTCGCTGGACACTGCCGGCTAAGGGAGCAGTGCCAGTGGTAGACTGATTGCTGCGCTTGCAGAGGAAGGGAGGAGGCGCAGCAGCATGACATGCCTCTCCCTCCCCTCCAACCCCCGGCAGATGACTCTGAGGGGGCTTATCCTGTCTGGACATCCTGAGCAGCAGCCTGGGGCTTGGGTGAGTGTCGTGCCAGGAGGGAGGGGGAGGAGAGGGAGGCTCCTCCCCCAGAACTCGCTGCTGCTGGTGGGGAGAGGGCTGGGGGGGAGTCCTCCTCTCTGGCCCTAGCCCCAGGGCAGCCTGCCTGCTGCACCCCAAAGTTTGAACTCCTCATACCTGGCCCAGCCCTACCCCAGAGCCCGCATCCCCAGCCAGCGCCCACACACCCCTGCACCCCAACCCTCTGCCCCAGCCCTGAGCCCACTCCTGCACTGTGAACCCCTCATCCCCAGGCCCATTCTTTGCTTAGGAGTTGGCATTTCTTTCCTTTGTTCTTTATAAGTGATTCTTAGGGGTACATTGCTGTGGGTGCTAGACGGTCTGATTTGTAGGCCTTGTCTGCACTCGGTTATTTTACACCAACATAGCTGCATTTGCGCAAGCCCCTAGTGTAAACAATCCATGCCCAGTTAACCATGACTTGTGCTGGCACAGTTTATCTCCATGTGAAACCACAGTGTGAACAAGCCCTTAGTAAGGTGACATCTCCACTTTATCTAAAAAATTAGTTTTATAAAATCAAACCCTTAAGACCCACAGAAAAATGTTCCCCCGTTATTCTTTTAAATTCCATTGAAAACACTGGTTTTATAGCAAGGACAAATTTCCATCAAGTATTCGCAACCCAAACATTACAGCACTGAGAACTTGGAAGCACCTTAATTGAATTTCATTGTCCAAGATAAAAGATGCACAGACTGTGAGAAAATCATAAATAGGTAAAGAAATACTTGTTTACAATATTAGGCTTTGAGGCTGGCCATGTCCCCAACAGTAGAGTTTTGCTTTTACCTCCCTGTGCACATTAACGAAGATTTACCCTTTTAGATTCCTTTCATCTTGGTTACTAGGCTGAAATAGTCGTATAACAGTTAAAACAACAAATCCAGTTAAATCGGTGTACATCCCCAGTAGTAATGCTCTGCACAGCCATGTCAATAAGCCAGTTCTGCCTGCTCTCCAGCCTGGGAGAGGAAAGGAATGTCTTACCCCTCATCTCCAGCCCCACCCCAGAGCCCACACCCCCAGCCAGAGCCCTCACCCCAGAGCCTGCACCCCAGCCTTGAGCCCCCTCCTGCACCATGAACCCCTCATCCCAATACCCCAACCCTCTGCCCAAGCCCCTCCCACACCTCGAACCTCTCATCCCTAGCCCCACTCCAGAGCCCTCATCCCTCGCCAAAGCCCTCATCCCCCCACACCCCAACCCTCTGCCCCAGCCGTGAGCCCCCTCCTGCACCATGAACCCCTCATCCTCAGCCCCACACCACAGCCCTCACCCCCGCACGGCAACCCTCTGCCCTACCCTGAGCCTCCTCCCACACTCCAAACCCCTCAGCCCCACCCTATTAATTTTGTGTAATAATAATCAACAATGAATAAATTCTTAATAAAGTTACCCAGAGAAAAAGAACAAAGTGATGCCTGAGTTCGACACCCAGCTTGCAAACTGAAGTTATACAAAAGAAAGATGCAGCAAATCTAAAAGATAAGAAAAGGAGCTTCCATCAATCAAATCTATCAAGATTTACGTGGTTGGAGTACAATAGTGAATTAGACAGAGCTTTTTGCCTTTGAGGATTATTGATCCAAGAGTGCTTGGTTGTATCCGTATTCAAAAGAGTATTAATAAAGTTGATATTCTTAGTTAAATATTTTTTTCTTACAATAGTGATATTGTGTAATACAGGGAAACTGTTAAACACTTACTGTTTCCAGTCCATTTTTACATTATTTTAAATATATATATATATATATATCAGCTTACAAGGCAGGTGGGGGATGGGGGACTTGGACCTGTGGGGGACTTTGGCACCACCAACAATTATAAACCTGCCGCCACTGTGGGTTTTGTTGTGGTTTGTTTTATTTTATAAATAGGTTTTCAGGCATGAGGGGTCTATGAAAAAGTTTAAACTTTCTATGTAAAGCAGGTACTACTTGGGGAGAAATTATTTTGTTGAAAACCCCAATTTTCTGGCAATTTTTTTTGACAAACATTTTAACTAGTTTTAGTAAATATTACTATCCTGATTTTATAAATGGGGAAAACTGAGGTACAAAAAGGTTAGAGACACAATAAATCAATCTGGGAAAGGGAAGTTTAGAATTCAGTAGCTCAAAGTCCTGATTCCCAGCCCTGTGTTCAGTCTGCCAGACCATACTGAGTCCAATATGGTTTTAATATTGTTACATAATTCATACTCAGTTAACTTTAATGATGTTACATGCACTACCCTGTTATCCATATGTTCCTGATAATCTTTGCAATCTCATGACCTAGTCTGTAATAACACACTGTAGTAAATGAAGATCTTTAAATGTCTGACACTTTGCTTACTTCTTTTCATTGTAGTGAGTACACCTTGTATTATCCATTATGTATTTCATAGGGTATGCTTGGCTAGCCTCTTTTACAAACTCTTAAACCTCACTGCTAGATATCTCTACAGTCACCAGTAAACAATACTTTAACATACAGAAACACAAGTGCATCTTGAGGCAAGTTAATTATTAGCACATTTTCACAGTCATATATTGCCATTTCATATGACATAAGCTAGCAATGTATTTGGTTTTATTGTCAGTTGATATCTACAGTAATTTTGTGTCTTTGCTCTATTTCACTAACTTATTTTCCCTTTTTAAATGCACTAAATACCAGTAGGAAAAGTGTTCTTCTGGAATTGTACTTTTAATCTAAAAACTACTCAGCACATTTTATGTATTAACATAACTAGTCCTCACAATACCCTTGTGGGGACGGGGGGTTGATCCTGAGACAGGCTGAGCATCTGAAAGTAGGCGAAAAGTGAGCAATACTATTTTTATTTTTCAGATGGGGGGAAATAAGGTTTTGGTTCATTGATTGACTGAAATTGAATTACTGTGCCTTTACAGTGATGTAACTGAGATCAGTATTAACCCCAAAGAGATTACAGTAAGTGATTTATACAAGACCACAGAAGGAGTGGGACACTCTCTTCAGGACACTCAGAACCATAAATCACTGTGTTACTCCCCTGCCTCAGCAAGTGAGAGCTTTGCTACTGCTAAACTGTAGGTCAGCTCCCTGACACACCAGTGTCTCTGCCTTGGCAGCAAATTCCTTGAGGCTCTGCCATTCTAAACCTTCCTTGCAGGTAACAATCAGTAAAACCTAGCTCCTGAATTCCCCAGAGATGTCTTTCTGCAGTGTCCAGTCCCTCTTACAGAAGTTAGTAAGTTTGCTGCCTCCAAAGAGACAGTGTGCACACCAGCCTGTTAGGTTATCTGAGGACTCACTCTTCACTTAAATATAGCAGCAATGAAATGAGTTATAGTAAAACTAAGAATAAGTTGTTGTTTTTTTATTAATAAAAGTACAGAGATTTAAGTGATACTAAGCAAGAGAAAAAGACAGGTATGGTTACAAACAAACAGGCATTTTAGTCACTAAATCTTTTAATTTTAGCAAGTTACAATCTTTGCCTAAGCAGTTCTCACTTACATCAGGTTACCAAAATATTTAGCCCTTCAGGCCAGGGGATAAAACTTGCACAGAATCAGAGGGTAATATCCCTTTTGTTCCATAAGTGATGAATAACTAAGGGGTTCTCGCCCCTTCTTTTTATAGTTAAGGCAGGGCCGGCTCCAAGTACCAGCTTCTCAAGCAGGTGCTTGGGGCGGCCGCTCCGGAGAGGGGCGGCACGTCCAGGTATTCAGCAGCAATTCGGAGGACGGTCCCTCACTCCACCTGGGAGCGAAGGACCTCCCGCCGAATTGCCGCCGCAGATCACGATCGCGGCTTTTTTTGTTTGTTTGTTTGTTTTGTTTTGGCTGCTTGGGGTGGCAAAAACCCTGGAGCTGGCCCTGAGTCCAGGAAACCTTTGAAAAGCAAACACAGACAAAGTTCCTCTTCTCTCCTGGTGTGTAAACACCATGCTGTCTTCTTCATCATCTGGTCAATTTTCTTTTTCAATTGGCTTAATCACTTCATTTACTTTACCATATAAATGTACTTCCATTGTCTCTGTCCTCTCCTTGCTCAATTTACATTGGAGACAAAGGTAAACAGGTGAAACAACATTCCTTTGTCTATTTCAAACCTGTTTATCTGCTCTACTCAGGTTGCTTGGTTTGAACATATTTTAGGAATATATTTCCAGCACATATACACAAGTCTTTACACACTGACTGCACATACATCACACAGTAATATTAGGGACCACTGTACCAGCAGTTCTTACATGATACCTCACAAGACACGCTTTGGTTAAATATTCTGACAACAGCATGTTGGGTGTGGCCTTTGCCTGTTGGCGTAAAGGGGGCTCTTAGGGTCACTCTAGAGATGGAAAAATAAAGATCTGCTCAAGCCTAATTTTAAAGCCCAACCCAACCCTGACTTGACCACAGCCAATCTGAACCCAGCCCAAGCATGTGCGGTTGTTTCATACCCAACACTGGTATTTGGGTTTTGGCAGGTTGCAAGGGTCAAACCTCTGGCCCAGAATGCATTTTCTTTACTTTGTTTCTCCAGAGAGCCATTGAAGTTAATTACCCCAGCCCCACTCTCCCACCACAGCCCATCAGCTCCTCCCTGCCCCAGCCAGCAATGCACACTGAAGGGTGGCCAGTTTCCCCCTCTCCAGGGCCACTGTCCCAAGACCTGTGTGTTAGTGCCACCACCTCAGCCTCGGAAGTCAGGCTGGTGGGCCTTCCTGCTCCCCATTCTCCGTGCCCCAAATCTATTTCCGAACGGCTCCTTCCTGTAGGGTCTGGCTGCATGTCCTGCCTACTGGCCACTGCTGCCTCCCTGAGCTGTGCATGCTGCGGAAAAAGAGGCACGGCAACTTGTCAGCACAGCACAGTGAGGCGGCGGTGGCCAGCAGGAGTGGGGCAGGCAGCCACTGCTGTACCAACCTCCGATGTAGCTGGTGCTCAGAGACTGCCTGACTCAACTCGAGCCTGAGTGTCAGGTTGTTCTCCACCTGATCCATCCTGAACCCAACACTTGTAGTCAGGGCTCATTGGATTTGGGGTCCATTGCAAGGCAAAGAAACAACCCATTTTGTCTATCTGGTATTTCTAGTACTCCCTTCACTACAGTAATGTAGGGACCAGAGAGAGACTCAAAAGTGATAGGGCCAATCAAGAGATGTGCCCCTAGCTCAACGGTGGGAAAAGCAGGGTGATGCTACAGCTTACAAAACAATAGCAGCTAGATCTGTGGAAGTTTCATAAGCTACTCAATCAAATCACAGAAGGTATATTATTTCTGATGAAATGCTGTGTGCGACACACCTACACATAGACTTTCATGCTGTGGTCACCCAGGAAGTGTCTCTTCATTGTACAATTTTGGGGGATGATTACTGGAATTTAGATAAGCATGTTATGCAGGAAGTCAGATAAAATGGTCATAATGATACCTTCTGACCTTAAAAGCTATTGTGGCTGTGTTTCTGGAGACCCAGATCTAGTTTGGGTTTCAGCTGCCAGCATAAGAAACTAAGGACCTCCCACATCCATGTATGTAAATCAGAAGGAACTCCAGTTAAGTCAATACACTAGTTTAAAACCAGGGTAAGTGAGGTCAGAATCATGCCCCAAATAGTAATTTAGTGACTTGATATCATATAAGACAGTGACATTAAAAAAATTGTGTAGTTCCTAGCAAACTTTTTATTCTCTTTGATTATCCCAAATCATTAGTTTCAATTTTATTTTCAGAGTCTGGGATGACTATGAACAAGGTTTTGGAAATTTTGTTTTGAGAAATGGTGAATACTGGCTTGGAAATAAAAATCTTCACTATCTCACCGATCAAGGTAAGACTTGTACAGAAATATTTTTCTTCCTTAGTGGCCTTTGCAATACAGGAAAATTTACCATCTGTTTCTGCTTTGCTCTTTCAGGACCAGTGCACTAAAACCAGTGCAATTTGCACTAATGTAAATCCTGAGTCACACCACTAGTTTGAATGGGATTGTTTAGAATTTACAGAAGTGTAAATTAGATCAGAATCTGGATCTCAGTTCCTAATAAAGGATTCAAACTCTCATTGGGCCAATGTGTCAATGGTGTGCAGGGAGCCTCAACAGAGCAATGCTCCGCAGTTCATAAGGCCACTGTCCCCCAAGCCCTTAAGTGGTTCTCAGATCCTTCCTCTCCCAAGCAGAACTGAATCAGTTTAACTGACAGTCCTGACCCAGTCAGTGAACTGCATTAGTTCCATTTAGTCAGGACATGTAGTAGCCACATATGTGACACAATCTGACTGACAGTGCAGGTCTGGGTGTTTTCTTATTTCTCCTACTCCTGGGAATGCTAACAGTGTCTCCATATTTCTAATAACTGAAGGCAGTTAATCTCCTATTGTCCTAACATAACCTCCTCTAAAGGCTTGTCTACACTTAAAACATTGCACTGGTGCAGCTGCGCCACTGTAACACTTCAGTGAAGATGCCACCTACACCAACAGGAGGGGTTCTCCCATCAGCATAGGTAATCCACCTCCCTGGGAGGCAGTAGCTACCATGGGGGTAAGGTTGGTTTAACTGCATCACTCAAGGGTGTGAGTTATACTGACCTAATTTCCTACTGTAGACCAGGCCTAAATTATTGCTTGTTAGATCTTATGCTTCAATTTAGTCTACTCATTCCTCCTCCCAAAACCTTCAAAAGGCAGACTTCCTAAATTACTCTGATGATAGTTCACACTGGCACCATGCCCCTCATTGCTCAATCAACCTTTGAACATACTCTCCTTAGATAAGAAGTCCAGCTCAATGGGGTTGAATGGGTGTAAGTGAAAGAAGAATTTATTCTATGCATTTAGGGCCATATCTTCAATTGGTTTAAATTTGGCACAGCTCCATTGAAGTCATTGGAACGATGTCAGTTTACACCATCTGAGGATTTGGCTCTGTAGATTAGAAAATTAAACAGAGGACCCTAAGACTCAAATTTTTGATTTGAATGCAAATTTCCCCAAACTTTGAGGAAGGGCAAATCCAGGATTATGGCTGGATCCCCTTTCCTACTTTCATCAGCAACTCACAAATCCTACCAATGTGAGGGTTGGCTGGCTTATATTGGGAAACTTGTACCAGTGTAACTCCATCAATTTCTGATACAGATCAGCCCTGTATGTTTTGTGAAGGGAGAAATACTAGTAAAAATTAATGTAAAATGTCTAAAGTTTGACTCCAAGCATTGTAGTCTGTGATACACTCACCTTTATAGACCTTCACTAGAAAATGTGGTTTTAGCAGAGGCAACGCATGGGGTGGGGGGCATGCGGGGTGACGTGCCCCACCAGATTTGCTGCTTGGCTTGTACTGAGCATGCTCACATGGACTGAGCATGCTCAGTAAGACTGCTGAAGCTGGCTGCCCTCACTCTGTTCCCCTCCCCTGCTCACTACTGGCAGGCACAGGTCATCTCTAGGCCTTAGTGACTATTATAATCTGTATATTGAAGTATATTCCACATCTTTTTATCTTCTTTCTTCCTCAACACTTAAGCATTTCTTGCTATTCCTTGTTTTACAACAATTTTAGGAGCATAATTTAAAGAAGATGGTGCCAGAATAATATTAGTTTCTTATAGAAATTGCTGTGATCTTTATTCATATGAATTTGTCCCATAACTTTTTAAATATGTAAATGCAAATGTGAAAATAAAAAGGCTTGTGGGAGCAAAAGAAAGAACATAAATAGGATTTTAGTCTCATTGTATAACACAATGGCTTTATTCTGAGGAATGCTGAGAGAGGTTGAATTAACATGAATAAATATTTGTTGTTGTTTTGCTAAGGAAACTATACCCTAAGAATCGATCTCTCTGATTTCGAAGGAGTACGGCGATTTGCACAATATAAAAGCTTCAGAGTTGCTGGTGAAGAGGTAATAAAATACTGAATAACTTCATTAATCAGTAAATTCATTTTTTAAATGAAAGCTTGGATTCTGTAGGCAACAGAAAAAATATTATGGCAGGCCATATAATTATAGATTCCACAACTTTCATATACATATATGGTTTTCTAATATCTCTTATTAACACATTTCCTTTCTCACCAAGACCTTAGAATTTTTGATAATGTAATAAACACATTGGTTTAAGTTCATAAATTGATTTCACACAATCATACTTGGTGCCTGTCTTTAAAGATTTTAAATTAGTTTTCTGGTTCTTCAGCAACCTTTTAATAACAAACTGTTTTCATGACCTTTGCTGATGTTATCAATGATGTTGGTTACAAAGATTTTTTGACATGAAAATGTTCAACATAAGATGAAGTTTTTATTAAGCAAAATTAGCTCTGTTAAAGGGTAAATCACGGAGAATACTCTTTGTTAACAAAGGCCTTAATTTAGCAAGGAACTTAAATATGTGGCTAATTTTAAGCATATGAGTAGTCCTTTTGCAGTAAATTCACTAGGACTATACATGGTTAAATTTAGGCAATACTTAAGTATCTTGCTGAATTGGGGCCAAATAGCCCAATTATGCCTCCTGGTAGGTGCTGCCTATCCTAAACAATCACTAATGTAAGATCCCATTGTTTTGGAGGCAGTGGGAGTTAAAAGCATTCAACAGCTTATAGAAGCCACTCAGCACCTTGCAGAATTGAACCCTAAAAGCCTACTTTATAGACAGCTATTTAAAGTTCTTGAAAATTCTTTTGTCTTACTGAGCATCCTCCCAGTTGCCTTTTATACTGTGTTTAAATGGCAAGAGCTAAATGACATGCCATTTCGGAGTTTATATTAAATAACAGTGAATGGAATGTATATTTCCTAGTTAATACCCATATTTGTTAATAACACCCAGAGATTAGTCTAATTTTTCTCTCCCCATTTTTCATTAGAGCTCATACCAGCTGAGCTGTGGAGAATACTCTGGCACAGCTGGTGACTCCCTTACTGGGGGGTTTCACCCTGAAGTGAAATGGTGGGCTGATCACCGAGGAATGAAATTTAGTACACAAGACAGAGACAATGACAACTATGAAGGGAACTGTGCTGAGGAGGACACAGCTGGCTGGTGGTTTAACAGGTCAGGTATTTAATGAGAATACCAATACTAGTGATTATGATATCTCTTGGTTACATATGAGGTAGGAACATATGATATTAGGTAGGATTGGTATCATTAATTGTAATTAGGTAATCTGTCATTGACCCCTATCACAGACACCTCAGCACTTGCCCACATGCCTGAGTCTGACCCTTGAACGAACTGCTGGACTGATACCCTGTATCACACCATCTCCAACTTGCATTGGACTGAGAGAAGGGATTTACTATGTGCTGGGATCTGCATTCCAACTTCTCACCTTGCTGTCCATCTAACTGTGTTTATTCTATCTCCAATGTACTGATTCTCTTTAAGCTCTCTGACTTTCATTCAAGCAGGTCATCTTGAACACACATTACCACTGCTTCCTATTCTTACATTTCCCCAGTATTTAACTAGATCAGATGTGACATTTGTGCAGGCTATATGACAAGTTAGTGGTAGGGTTGAGTTAATAGATGTCTAATGTTAGGGGAACCATTTTTCACCTCACTTCACAGGGTCTCAAGCTCATTGTCCATTCATCAAGATGGAAATGCACCCCCCTTAATTAGGTGTTGTTCTCAGAGAGATTATTCTGAGAAGGAAACTTCCTTAAATATGATGAAGTCAAAGTTTTTAAAATGTAACATTTCTTATACTTGTATATGCAAGGTGACACAGAAGATTGAACATAAATGATAAATAACCTTGGCCTTGAATATATGGGCAGCTATCTATATAGGTTCACTTGAATAATAAGATAAATATAGCTATAAGGTGAAGCTATGCAATATATAGCTATAAAAGGCAGTTCAAAGAAGCATATTATCACAATGCAATCTCAGTTCACTTGGCAAGAATTGCCAGGCAGGATCAGCTCCAGTGTGTGTCTCTCTCTGTGTCACCCTTTGTAACCCTCACTTACCAAAATTCAATACCACTTTCTTTGAGAGGACTGAGATAAGTTAGGCCGATCTCATTACCTGTAACCACCTCATAGGTTTGTTTCAAATTTAATTTTATCTTTTAGCATATGCAAGGGAAGGAGAATCAACATAATGGATATTGCAAGGAACTGGGATATATCATAGGAAAACCACATGTGGACTGAGTTTCAGTTCTACTTAAAGCTACAATTACAGATATAGAAAAAAATCAGTTGTGATCCTGTTCCCAATTAAATGAACCTCCAGTCCTAAAATTGCATAGGATTGTGATAACATATCACAACTTTCATATATGATGAATCACCAATGACTATTAGTCAACTGAGTCCATTTTCCTCAAAACACGTCTCTTATTATGTCTAATAGCTCAGGCAAAAGCATTATATCTTTGTGGAAATAGCAGCATGACAGGATTTGACAGCTCTTTGTATCTAATGTACTATTATGATTCATGTCATATAAATACCACAGATAGCTAGCTCTTGCAATTAAGGTTTTTATTAGTTGTGGATCTTTCTCTCTCTTAAAGTGATATTACTGTCTTGTAGCATCTATGTTCTGGGTTAAGGATGAAAGTTGCTAATGAGGTTACCCCACTTCCTTGATTCTGCCATTTTGTTGAGTAAGCACTTACTACTGAACTGAACACTGAAACACTCATCAGAATGCTTGCAAATTTCAGTATTCTGCCTGCACAAAAGAACAAAGCTGGCAGGCACAGTGAAATGAAAGCACTGAGAGCTCTCATTTGTCATGCTCACATTAACAATCACAAGGAGAACCAGTGCCCTGGATTGGTTTATATAGGGTCTCCCAGCTGAGTAGGAATTTGTTTTTCTATTTAAAATCTGTTGAAATGCAATTTTTGCCTTAAAAAAATTAAGGAATCAGGAGGACAATAGGAATGGAAATAGGCTACTTCTAAGGTGTGTACATGAGCCTGCCAGGTTTGGCAGTGTAACTTTAAGAAAAGCACACCTTTATGAATTTTTATTTTGCATAAGCTGAGTACCTAACATATGTAATCAATAAATCATATGCCAGTTGTTTCTTCTGCATGTCGAGTTATTTCTGTGTACAGACCATTACACAGTATTTGTGTAGCTTTGCTATTGTGCTTTTTTGCTCCCTAACACCAATTTAAGAGTTGTTATTCTTGGCTCATGGTGCTTTCAAAAAAATCCACTTGTGTCTATTTCTACCAAAAGAAGGGAATGCAGTAAAGGAGTCAATAAAGAAGGCCAATAGCTAGTCACCACATGTTACCCTCTATGCCTTTGCTAAGGAAGTTTGTGCTTGAGTGAGTAGTACAAAGTAAACAAATGCCTACCCAGTAAGGAAAGTGTATGACATATTGAGCATGTCAGTTCTGTCACCGATTTATCATTTTGAAAATCAAAGCCACCTTTTATATCTGCAGGTCATAAACTTTCAGCTGGTGTATGGCATGATTCAATTTTTAAAAAGTGTTTGCAATGGACAACCAGCTAAATAAGAATTTTAACATATGGCTTTTTTTTATTATTGCTTCTAGTTCAGTTCTTTGTAACTGTTAAGTGCAAACATACCTGGAGAGACTAACATTTGCCAATAGTTATATCCTTAAGGCTCATTCTGGATTGTTTTCTTTTTTTAATTCTACCTAAAGACAGCTTTCTAAAATCCATCATAATGTGTGACAACTAACTACTAATAACAACAAAATACCAACTCAACAGTTGTTATAATCTAGTACTGGAGCTACAGCTAAACAGATTCACTACAATATCCTGCAAAAAAAAAAAAAAAGTGTAATTGTCTATATGGTCACAATGATCCCAACATCCTCCTTCATGGAAACAAAATTAATGAGGCAGAGGGGCTGTAGCATAGCAAAATATTTCTTTGACAGTTACAAATGTAATTTATACTGTTGCAATGTGTTAGAGAGCCAGAGAAGGATACCAATTAAAATGGTAAGTCAGATGATCCAGCTATTGGAGGATTGCCAGAATGCCTATATTTAACTTGTAGAGAGATTTCATATTTTTCCAACAAATATGAATCAGTAGTTTAATAGCTGAGCTGATGATGATTATTTTTTCATGTGAAACTCCAAGTGTTGGCAGTAAATGCAAGATTTAGAGTAATTGCTCCAAAACAACAAACAGAGGAATAACGCCACATTCCTTTCACAAAGTTTTCATTGCCACGTACCCTTGTTGCTAGGTATGATCTTAACAAGTCTGGAAACATTCTTTAGTGAAGCAGATTAGCAAGTGAAATGTCAGAGAACTAATGGTGTTAAAGGAATGGAGTCAAGGAACAAAGCACTTTTTGTTTTGATGCCGCAAAGAACCCTTGAAATTGTGCGCTAATTTAGCCTTTATTGTTTAGTGGCATTGAGCCCCACGAATGCAAATTCCTGCAGCTGTCAAACTAGACTGTCATCAACATAGCGATTTTTTTGGCTCATGCAATAACTACAAATCCCTGAAGCTTTTAGACAAAACAGATTTGCTTAATTAACATTAATGTCTTGTTTTTGTTTTCCCTTTCTTTCCCACCAGGTGTCACACTTCCAACCTGAATGGTGTGTACTACAAAGGACCTTATACAGCAAAGACAGACAATGGAATTGTTTGGTACACATGGCATGGGTGGTGGTATTCTCTGAAATCTGTTGTCATGAAGGTCAGACCAGCAGACTTTGAACCCAATGTTGTTTAAATATCTAGTTAATATAATCCATCCAGTTAATCTTTTAGCAAATCCATCTAAATTGGGCAGATTTCTCCCTCCACCCTCCCTCCTCTGCCTCATTTATGCCTGTATAAATCTGGAGTAACTTCATTAAAATCAGTAGTGTTATATGGGTATAAATGAGAATAGAATCTGGCCTTGAGCCTGGAGATACAAATAATGTTTACAGGATTGCTAAAGAGACCAGACAAAGTTCATCCAGGGTTTATGGCAACTTTCACCAATGTAGAATACTTAGCAGTAGAACTCTAGAAGCAGGGGAAACTTCCACTTGACTGACGGGCATAATGGGGGCCAGGACTTCCCCAAAAGTGAGTAGTATTGGTCAGGAAGGAGGAGTGCACTGCTATTGTAACCTCTGCTGGTGAGGCTCCTTTGGAATCCCCAGTGGAATTCAAAGCAGCCTACAATGCCAGAACTTCTGAGGAAGGACAGCAGTGGGAACATCACCTGGCCATTCCTAGGACACAAGAGACTAGGCTGGTACACAGGTGCAATTTGTACCTTCTGGGGAATGGAGAACAGGAGGGTTGCCAACTTGGCCCACACTATTTTGGACTTTTTTCATTTGGAAACGTTTCTATCTAAATCTATGCACAATACATAAGATTTAATGGAAAAATTACAAAATAGATTCACTATATTGTCTTAAAAAGCAATGTGAATATATATTACACATAAAAACTACATTAAAAGAATGTTACAGAATGTCCAGCAATTTAATGGTGCTGGAGCAATTTGTATAGTGGGATGCTGAGAGCCATTGAACCAAACTGTAAACCCTGTATGTGATGGAAACCATTTCAAACCATGCTGTACCCCCAGCACCCTTAGTTCCAGCATCTATGAGTGGACATGCTGTACATTGAATGGGGCAGGGGTCCAGTGGAAAATATTATGTATGATCCTGTAATTAAAGACTGTATCATAATATATACACACAGGGGAGCCAAATTAAGGTTATATAGGCAACTTTAATTCTGGCACTTCCTAACTTTTGAGTGCTTGCTTTAGCAAACTTAACATTCTTTTAATGTAGTTTTTGTATGTGTAATTTTAAAGAAAAGCTGAAACCCTCCCCCAGCATTTCCATCATGATACCCAGCAGGGTTGGAACCTTTAGATCCACAGCACAGACTTCTGCCATTTGAGCTCATGGAGTAACTCATAGTAGCAGTTATCTTCTATGTGAACTAGTGACTAGAGGGGGAATGGAACACTCCCTTTTCCAGAGGGTTTCACAGATACATACTTGCAGACAGCAGAGGAATGATGAGACTTAGGAATCTTGACTTTCAGTCAAGATTCTGAAATATAGCATGCTTTACAGGTAACAGACCCTTGTGACCCCCACCCCTCACCTCAACAAGACTGCCCCCTTTTGCCACTTGTCCTTTTAGCCTGTTCCTTTTCCAGTCCTGGCTCTCCCCCTCCTTGCAGATCCTTTCCTAACTAGTCCCAGTCTAGATCTTCCCAGAATCCTCACTCCATTCCCACTGTTTTTCCCCAGTCACATTCAGGCTTCCCATCCAAGGCACAGTCTTCCCCTGACCCAGACTCCTTGTCCCAGTTTCCTTGCTCAGGCAGTGTCAATTCCTTCCCCCACCCCCCTGGCTCCTCATCCAATCTCAAAGTAGCATCCCTCCCCTGGCTTCCACTCCAAGTCTCTTTGCCCAGCCAGTCCCAGTCTCCCCCACCAGGGTCCTTGTTCTATTCTACTCTCTCTTGTGTCCCCAATCTGGCTCTTGTCCCTTCAGCATTTAAGTCGGGAAATTTCTTCCCCCACACTGCCTGAGGGCCTGCAGGGGAGTGCTCATGAGCACAGGAGAGCCTTCCTCCTCTCAGTCCTGATGTTCATCCTCACAGCCAGCCAGAGCAACCAGAAGCATCAATTTCAGGCAAAGTTCTACTCTGCCCCTGTAGTCCTGAGATGGAGTATGCCCAAGGCAAACTGAGTCATTAGAGAACTGATGCTGCAAAAGTCTCTGCTGAGCATGTGTAAACTGAGACATTTCAAAATCTTATAATTTGGCCAGATTTGGGTGTTTTTTTCAAGGAAGAGCAAAAGATACATCCCTGGCTTGTATTTTTCAAGTTCCTATTCCAAAGCATAGAGATACTAGAGCTTTTCAACTGAACAGCTGTAAGAATTTTGTTAACATGGGCAATGTGTTTTTCCCTAATCTCATTCTAGGAAATGGCTAAAGTGTTTTTGCTGAAACTTCCCCCTCCGCCCTTCTCCCTTAAAAAAAAAAAAAGTTAGCATCAGGCAGATATCTAGCATAGAAAGTTTCAGCCCAAACAATTGAAGTTTGGCAAAGTTGTAACCAGCAGAAAACAAGATCTTATAATGGAAAGTATCAAGTAATCTTAATTAGAGGTGTCATTACCATCTCCACCTATCATACAGGGATGATGCTGAAGCCACTTTTCATGCAGAACTCCTGTTGCCTCCAAAGTGTTACTGACTGGCTACAGAATCAAGCCATAGCAGAGGTGTTAGTATAGACAGAACTTTTTTTAAAAGAAGCTTAATTAGGTATGTTCTTTAGAATCAATATAATCTCTCTCTCTCTAGTCTGTTCTGAAGCTCTGTTCTAGCCAGTTCTGTTTAGGTCCTTATATCATGCCCATCATCTGAGCACTTTTGTTCTGTCATCACATTCAGCATAGCTCAGACTTTAAACTAGTCAGCTATATATCGCAGCTGCATCATATACAGTAAGCAAATTCTGTAATATCACATCTGGTTTGTCACATTTCATTCACTGATGACATGGGAGTAGAAGAGGTCGAATTCATATGGGATTTAGAACAAGCCAGAATGGGTAGATGTGGCCAATATGATTTTCCCCATATTCTCCTCCAAAATAAATGGAAGTTGACTCTAGGTCAGCATTTCTCAAATGCAGCCACCAGGGGCTTTTTCTTGCGGCCACAACCTCCTGGACAGTGATTGGGGGCAAAGCAGCTGCCCCCTTCCCCTCCCTGTTGCTCCTGGATGTGCCACCTTGATGTTGGTGGCTGGGGCTGCTAACAGGGGTTGGGCCCTGCCCTCCTCTGGAGACAGCTGGGGCACAACCTTGGAGGATCAGGCAGCCTGTGAGTTGCCCACCTTCCTGGGGGTCGTGGGGCTCGGGCTTCAGCCCTAGGATGGCAGGGTAAGCACCAGAAGACTTACTAGCTAGCAATAAATAAATTACAATGATTTTGATGTGCATATGTACATATTTATTTGTTTTTCCTAAAGTTAATTAAGTGTTTTAGGAAAAATTGTCAGAGTGGCCACCAGCACTCTGAGGCCACCAAAAAATTTGTAATGAGAACCCCTGTTCTAGGTTATTCTCATTTTACACCCCATGATGACAGAGGAATTCTATCTTTTCTCACAATCAATATGTCTAGACATAAAGTACTAAAAGCCTGACTTGCTTTTGCCAGCAAACTCCTCATTGCAGGTTCAGTAGCAGAAAAGCTATTTGACAGAGATCTGGTCTTGGCAAGTGCAGTCCAGAAAGTAGTTAGGGTCATCCAAGGAGGTGGTGGAACTTGGACACTTGAAGATGCACCGATTTAGCACAAGCAGCTTCTACTCAGGGCCGGCTCCAGGGTTTTGGCCGCCCCAAGCAGCCAAAACAAAACAAAAAAAAAGCTGCGATCGCGATCTGCGGCGGCAATTCAGCGGGAGGTCCTTCGCTCCCAGGCAGAGTGAGGGACCATCTGCCGAATTGCCGCCGAATACCTGGACGTGCCGCCCCTCTCCGGAGCAGCCGCCCCAAGCACCTGCTTGAGAAGCTGGTGCCGGAGCTGGCCCTGCTTCTACTGGCAGGGTAATGGAATGTGTGACTGGGAAGGGGAAGACCATAGAGATGAAGAGCAGAGTGTTTATTTGGGTGATAGTTGATTCATATGGCATCAAGATAAAAATTTAAAACAAAAATCTTTAATTTAAGGAAACTAAGAGTAAACCTCATATATCCTTATGCAAGTATGAATCAAAACACAGATCTGAATGCAAACTGCTGTACACATTCTCTCCAACTCCAAAAGAAAAAAAAGGGCCAGGCCCTGCCCTTTTCATTCCCCGACCACAAAACAGATGTTCTTATAGACTTTAGGGCCATGATCATCTAGTCTGATCTCCTGCATAGACCCTCATCCACCCACTCCTGCAATAGGCCCATGACCTCTGGCTGAGTTCCTGAAGTCCTCAAATCCTGATTTAAAGACTTCAAGTTACAGAGAATCCACCATTTACTCTAGTTCAAATCAGCATGTGACCCATGCCCCATGCTGTAGTAGAAGGTGAAAACCCCCCAGGGTTTCTGCCAATCTGACCTGGGAGAAAATTCCTTCCAGACTCCAAATATGGCGATCAGTTTTCAAGGTTATCCAAATCTTTTTGTATGATATTCTGGTCCTCCTCTATAATGGCAATATCACCCCACCTTGTGTCATTTGCAAATTTTATTAGCACATTCCCACTTTTTGTGCCAAGGTCATTAATGAAAATGTTAAATAAAATTGGTCCCAACACTGATCCCTGAGGAACTCCTCTAGTAACTTCCCTCCAGCCTGACAGTTCACCTTTAATTATGACCCAATGTAGTCTCCCCTCTAACCAGTTCCTTATCCACCTTTCGATTTTCATATTCATCCCTATCTTCTCCAATTTAACTCAGAATTTCCCATGTGAAACTGTATCAAATGATTTCCTGAAATTCAAGTAGATTAAATCTATTGCATTTCCTTTGTCTAGAACATCAGTTATCTTCTCAAAGAAAGGGATCAGGTTGGTGTGGCATGATCTACCCATTGTAAAACCATGTTGTATTTTATCCCAATTACTGTTTACCTCTATATCCTTAAATTCTCTGTCTTTCAAAATTTGTTCTAAGACCTTGCATATAATTCAGGTCAAACTATAGTTTCCCATACCACTTTCTCCCCCTCCCATTTTCATAAATATAGATAATATATTTGCAGTTCTCCCATGGGGTATGGCCCTGAGTTTACCGATTCATTAAACATCCTTGCTATTGGGCTTGTAATTTCATGTGCCAGGTCTTTTAATGTTCTTAGATTAAGACAATGCACAGCTCATGATTTGGTCCCATTAAGTTGTTTGAGTTTGGCTTCTACCTTGGATCTTGTAATTTTCACTTTTTATGCATCTTCTTTCTCAGTAGACACCCTGTTCACTGTGCCCAGGCTCTTCATTACTCTTATTAGGAAATGAGACCAAGTATTTGTTTAGGGGGTGGGCTATACCTAGATTATCTTTAATCTCCTCCTCAGGATCCTTTAAACCTTTAATCTTATCCTCAGGATAAGGCCCCACAGGTCTAGAACTCAGGCCAGTAGAGCTGCTAGGCAACTGAGACCTCCAGGCTGCCACCCAGCAGCAGCTGTAACCATTTTACACTACACATTCCATGACCTGCTGTGGACACAGACCATGGGAAGTTCTGGCTCAAGAGTTTGACAGACAGCAGCCCCATAGTTCCTGATTGGCTCCCTGCCCTATATAAACCCTAGGAGCATTTCAAGACACGCCCAGGCAATAGTGTGGATCTTTCGTAACAGTTCTTTATTCGCTGCTCTTGAATTCCTGGTATTGCTGTGATTCTCCAGCCTTGCCCCTTCTGGATGCAAATAGTTTTGTCTTCTGTTCTCACTTGCAGTCTTCTGAGAGTCATCCTCTGTCTTCCTGTACTCTGTACTCCTGTACTCTGAACTCTGGTTATCTCCATTGTCTCTGCCCCTCTTTTTGTAGGGCTAGCTATTCTTCCTTGCTCTCCCATCTTCTGTTAGTGACTCTCTCCCCTTCATTTTCCAACTCAGCACACCTATTCCTTAGCCCCATCTCCTGCACTAGCTGGTCTTTTCCTCTACCTGGTTCTTGTAAGTACATATTTCCACTAGCCACTTAATTCACCCAGTAGTCTACCCTCACAGTTGTCTAGTCCAGCTTGCATATGCAAGTCCTGAGTTTTCCCTTCAGCCTCCTCTGGCCTTTCCTTCATCATTTGCTTAAATCCCTGTCAAAACTCAGCCATAGTTTCTACCTGAATTTCAAAACCTGAGATCTTCTCTTTCATCAGATCTATCAGGCAGCACATCATACAAATGAAGCACCTTTCAGGTACCCTCTCCAGAATAATGTACATCTTGCATCTTCAGTGTTTTATCCATTTTGGGGGTCACTACCCCTGCTGCCTCTGTAACAAGCAGAGCCTCCCCTCCTAAGCATCTGTCAACAGAAAACCCACACAACATTTCCCCCCCCCCCTTTCCAAATTCCCCTGTTTTCAGTTGTTTGCTGGCTCATGTGCTGCTGGCTGACCAGTTGGCTGCCTTTATAGGCCTGCTGATTAGGGAAGCCTGGTCCCCTAATCAAAGCTCAGTTGTAATCCTTTTCTCACAACATACTGTCCCTTACCACACTTTGCAAACTGAAAACAACCCAGCAAGCAAGCAGACACTCTTGAGAACACACACTCTGCCACTAAGGAACAGGGGCTTGCCTCCCTTCTCCTTTCCAATCAAACTCCCCTGATCTCAGCTGTTTGCTGGCTCCTGTGCCAATACTGTGAAAGTTCTTGCAATAATCCCAGGGGATAGGCATGGAGGGGTATTCATGTATCTCTCCATGGTTTTACTTGGTGGCCAGTGTCCTGCCCCACTCAGTGCTACTCACTATTTAAATTCCTTCTAGTGTCACACACTATACATTGGGAAATAAAGAAGGAAGGTGTTGTGGTTAAGGCAGCAGATTGGGGATAAGGAGATTTAGATTCGGTTCTGGGCTCTCTCATGGTTTCACTGTGTGATATTGAACCCCTTTGTAAAACAGGTGTGACATTTACTTTACTTCACTGGGACTGCTGAGAGTAGATACACAAATGTGTGGCATTCAGACACCAGGCTGATGAGGGCTGGAGGAAAGCCTATAAATAAATGAGATGTGGTTCATATGCATCTCTATGCTGCAGTATAAACTTTAGCTTAAATTCTACAGTGGGTTTTAAACTTATTCTTTTTGTAGTGATAAAAAAATATTTTAAAAGATAAGTTTCAGCCTACTAGTATAGAACAGTTCAGCCACATAGAAAATCCACAGACGACAGGAAGATACACATGTTTACAATATGATACATTCAATATCAAAAAGGAGCCTCCAGCAGTTATTTCTAACCAATTTGCTCATTAAACACAAAGTGATCCTGCATCTTCCTCATGTACAATCTATAAGTCTGAATCATTAGAGTGAAGATGAAAGCTTGTTTTTCCAATGCAAACAAAAAGGTAGGTTTCTAGAGCTGTTAGGAACACATTCTTTCCTGTGGGAATTCTCAAATTCCTTTCAGAAGTCTGAGTTGAGGAGGGTTCATTCTCTGCCAAGCCATGAATGATATTACAGATAACTATGAAATTACCCTTAATATTTTGGAGAGGAAAAAGGAAGGAAGATTACTTAATGCATTCAAAGAAGCCCTATTGAGGCTGATCAAATTGCACTTAATGTAAACATAAGACATGGAAGGCTTAAATAGTAAATTCTCTAGCAAGAAAAAAATAGATTGCTCCCAAACTTGCTGATAAAATCTTCAGCAGTTTTCCTGAGCTTGCTGTAGGATAAATCCAGACTTTTAACTTATGAGAATGCTAACAATACTTGTCAGCTGAGCTAGGACATATTCCTAATATTTGAATGCAAAAGTGGCAGAAAAAGCCATTTCCCTTCCCCTTTTGGAAATCTCATGAGAAAAGGTACTGTAGACTGATGTACAACTCGGTTACACAAAGCAAACTTCTTTCTGCATATTTTTTCATGTGTTTGCACATTGTTTATTTGGATTGTAACCTCCTCAGGCCCAGGACCTTTTCCTCCTAGCTGCTTGAAAAGCACCTGATATATTGATGGTATTATGCAAATAAAATATAGCACCCCCTCTCCTGCATTTCCATGTTTTTCTTTGTGTATAATCAATTTGGACTGCATTAAAATGTATGAGTAAAGTGTTTTTAACTCAAATGTGATCCCATATTTCTTATCAAATAAGTAAAACCTTTATTTTTTAAAGAACGAGTTCAGATGGATTTTTTTAAAGTACAATTTGGAAGTGAAATCACAAGCTGCTAAGTGTTCCTTGCTGTGCCTGGCATTGCCTATTAGTATTAATTTGTTTCCTCTACAGGTTTGAACATGTCCTGGAGCAGTCTAGTATTCATGCAAGATTACAGAACAAAGATCAGTTTATTTGTTCAATCATTAGATAGGAACCACAACACAGAGCAGAATGAATTTGTTTCACTTGATACAAATTATACAACCCAAATAAAGAACAATCAAAGAAATAATAAGGGTGTTGCTGTGTCATTCATGATTGAACAAAGAACACTATCCTAGCTACCAGCAATACGCCAAGCAAAAAAAAGTCCTCTCTTTAATCATCCTTTGTGAGAAATGTCTCAATGTTTATGAACTAGCAGTTATTCTGATAGTTTTCCTCTCTCTTCAAATTGTTAAACTCTTTGGAGAGTGAAAGAATGGAAATCACAAATCAGCATGAATTAAGTGGAGTGGGAGGCATAGATCCATTAGAACTCTGCCTTCTAACCTCTCCTTACAGTCAGAAACCTAACATAGTGCCACGTTTGTTTATTTTTTCAGGGAGAAAGTGGTGCACTGAGGAGGGAGGGAAAGTTCCTACCATAATTTGGCCTATAGCTTTCCTGCAAAGATTTTTCTCTGAAGCTCCACTGACTGCCTAGAATTACTTCTGCTATCTCCCCCTTACACACTGCTAACCCACTAACTTCCTGTGGATTCCTTTGATCTTTCTTTCAAAGGGTCAGAGCCTCAGGCCAGTTCTCAGCCCAGCTGCTGGCAAAGTGCATGTGACTAGGGGAAAAGTGCATGGTAAGGACTCCCCAGATCCCCAAACATCCCTTTCAGGCTTCTCTGATTCACAGCAGGGATGGGAACAGTACCTCAGTGGCCCAAAGACCTGAGGCATACAATGCTGGCTTTAAAATGCCTGTATCCCTCTTCAGCTGGGTTAAGCACTGCTCCACTACAGCTGAAGATTGGAGAAAAAGTTTCTTGGCCTTAATTCCCCACACTTTTGGGGTGTTTCAGTTCACCAGTATCCTGGAGCTCAACTTGGAGATCTCCAAACAGGCACCCAAAATCAGTGGATATTTTAAAACTTAGGTCTTACTGTCTCATTGTTGCATTGGGATCTTCAGCCCACCAGACTCAGATCCTAAAGATCCCATATTAATCTGTCCATAATGATGTAATATTATTTGTCTTATTTTTAACTCTCACTATGTGTCTTTTTCTCTTATGAATCACTCCTGTGTATCTAGTGCTGATTATTGGAACATTCTTGAGGAATTGAAAACAACTCTTAAAAAATGGCTACATTCCCATAGTGATAGAAGCGATGTTGTTATGTTATTAAATCTCTGTGAAATGAGCTGAAGTTTGTCTCCTGCCATTAGAGATTTGTTAAAGCATCACAACCACTAAGTTGTCATGAATTCTGCAATAGTGTCACATCTGTTCTAAGTGGATGTTGGGGAAATGTACAAATGGAGCTATTTACTATGAAATATGTCCTGCCTGACAGAAAATAAATTAAAAAAAACAATAACAAATATCTGATTTTTAGGGGGGTAAGGAAGCTGCAGATTTACTATATGGAAACATGGAAACATATGGCATTGGTCCCATTACACACAAATCCTTTGGTAAAGAGTCCCCTGTTCTTAGCAAACATCTCCCACCTCAGACCTCATAAATATGTCTTACAGTATATCTATGCATAAAGAGTAACATGTAAGATACCTATAGAAATCTCATAACTTGTTAAGATTCATAATCAATGAAAGAGATATATATAGGAAACATTTAAGGAATAATGCATTTATATTGTTAGTATGTTTTATGGACCTATATATGAAAAAGCCCTGAATATTGGGACTGTTCCTATAAAATCCAGACATCTGGTCACCTTACACAATCTAAAGGGGAGGACATGTGACTGCCCCATGTGTCTCCTCGGTTTGTATGGATATTGATTTCTGTTCTGTACTTGAAAAGTAGCCTCTCTTTGTCCAACTGAGATTGAGAAACATTGGGACTGATCCTACAGCCTTTGCTCAGGAAAAGGTCCTATAAAAGACAATGCTGTAGTGCTATTCCTAAAGGTGCTACCTATGCCCCAAGAGAATAGTGTCTTGTGTTCTTTGTAATACCAGTGAGTGTTTAGGTATTTTTGGAGCTCTCACTAGTAGCTGATGTTTGGCAGCCCTCATGTCTCTGTTACTCACCTCTTCTATTTTACCTACAGTATCTTCTTTCACTTGAATGGTAATGGAACCAGAAATGTAAAATGAGACTCAAGAGAAGTCAGCTGCTTATAAAGATTCCACTGTCCTTTCTTGCTGGCCAACTAATTTAGATGCAAGCAAATTGTATGCTTGATACAAAAGGGAGACTTCATAGAGCTGGGATTATATTTAATCATTAAAGCAAAGAGGTTTTAGTTTATATTGCATCTCCAAAAATGTTGTGACAGATAAATTCTAAACTATAATGCATCACTAGATGGATTGCTAAAAATAAATACATGTTTTATACAAACCCCACCATTACTATCTGAGAGAACAAAATACTTCAGAACTGTTTATTTTAGTGCCTGATTATTTTAGCATAAATTTGCATTTGTCATTTCATGCTCCTGGCCTTCCAAGGACTAATGCCTTTGCCTGCAGATAGCCAAAATTAACTTATAGAAATAGTTTCTATTTCTAGCTTTACACTATATTTTGCTTATGTATTTATATTTGGGGAGGAACTGTTTGGAGACAATAATGAAGAATCAACACTATTAACATCCTCTCTCTAACGACACAATGTGAAAGGTTGGGAAAAAACTTTAGAATCTACGTTCTATAGCTTGATTACAAAAATATGTGTAAATATTTAATTCTGTGGATCTCATTTGTTATTTGTTTAATATAACAAAGAAAATTAATACTACAAACACCAATTTTGCCAGGCAATCTGGTTCAATAGTTAGACAATGGGCTGGGAATCAGGGGACATGGGTTCTGGTGCCTGCTCTGTCACCAGCTTGCTGTATAATATTGGGTAAGTCAACTAAACTCCTTGTGCTACAGTTTCCCTATATATGAAACAAATAATAATGTTTTAGTCATCTTTGTAAAGTACTTGAAAATCTATGGAGGAAAAGTGCTATATAAATGTTCAATTTATAATTTTATCCAGATTATAAGGCATTAGAGTTTTTCAACAAAATCAATGGTCAAAATCATTGAAACATTTTGCCTATTTACACTAGAGGTGAATGTAACCTTCTGGGCCAGATTTACTGCATAAGCAGTGAAGAGTGAATTTAAATTTGTGGGAAATTTCAAAGTTTCTAACCTTCCAAATCAGAACAAAATCTTTTTCAGAGTGTCACATTTTCCCATGGAACTGGATTTTAATTTGCTGAAGATTCCCCCTAGAGAATTCCCTCTTCAACTTTCTATGCCAGCTGACACTTACACTCCCGGAAGAAGTAGGAAAAGGGTCCAAGTCCAGGGCCTGCTTGAGGGCATGTTGGAGGCAGAAGGGGGCTCAGTGGAGTCAAGCTTAGCTATTCCTGATTCCCTGCTCTCCTAAGCTCTCATGCTAGTAGTAGAAATAGAATTATTTCTGCTTTAACTTCCACTAGGGCCAAGTGTCTGGGCATCAGGGAGCAGCAACCAGCTCCTGTTGGCCACCACTGTCCACTATGTCCATGTGCAACTGTGATGTAGCAGAGAACCAGCAATAGTATCTCTGGTAATAGGAGCTCTGCCTGCTGGAGCCATTTAAAAACACCTTGTAAATTGTTCATAATAATTGGCAGATGAAAGCTAAAAGTACAAGCCAAGGTGCCTAGTTGTATGATACAACACAGATTCTGAAGCATACATATAAACTAGGAAAAAAACAGATGTAGAGGGATCCTTCAGGGAATTCCATCAGCACACACAGGACTTTAGAAAATGTCATGTTGTTGTTACAACTTGCATTTTAGAAGGTGGATAAGCATAAAAACTGACAGGTACCCACTAACAGGAGTCTCAGCAAGAGATTGTGGTTAATCAGGGCACCATATGAGAGAGTAGGGAGGAACTTTCCTCCTCCACCCCTTCCAGCTTCTAACTCAAACTCATGGCAATAGAAAAGATGCAAGTTTTAAAAAGAGCTTGCACAAATAATCTGCCTTCCCTTTCCAAAATGTTCTGAAGCTGTATCCTGATTGATAATCTGTGTCAGAGATTTGTTTATGAAGTGCAACAAAACAAACCGTAACAAACATTATAGGCAGCACAAGTAGTGATACATGTAGTTAAGGTTACCTTGTAATTTCTATTATAATACAGTTTTCAGTTGCATATAATTTGACAAACTTCAACTATTTGGGCAGAATTTTTCCATGCTAAGTTGGGTTTTTGCCTCAAATTCTTGGGTTAGTTTCAGTTAAAACGATCCGGCTGTTTCTGTGAATAATATGTTGTTTTGCCCAGGTTAAAAAAATTCTTACAACAGTTTTGTTGAGGAACTCTAGGACCTCAACTTATTTATACACATGTAATATCACCAACGTGCCATTTCACAGACAAATCTTATCACATCCCAGTTTGAGGATTCTGTGCTTGTACAATACATTAACTTCATTTCATGCTCATCCTCATTTACCCTTCAGTTCTTTAACAAGAAAACAATGCCTTTTGAATTCAGATATTCCAACTTCAAACAGCATTATGTTTTGTTCATGTGTGTAAAGTCTAATGACTTAAAGGTAAGCTGTGAGCAAGACTTAACTCTTTTATTAGACCCTGTCCACATGGCAGTTGAAACTATGCCAACCATAACAGTTTCTTCAGGACTCTGGGAAATGATACAGAAACAGATGCACTAATTATAAGTGAGAGGATAATCGGGTTCTTTAGTACAGTATTATCTTGCACTGTAAACTGTATTTAAACTTTCTAATTTTCTTCCCTTGGGCTTGAGTTGCTATCCAGAAAGGAAAAGACCCTAAGATTACTTCTACTTACTTGCTTCCTGGAGCTGCATATCCAATCTCTTCAAAGTTGCATACTGACGGTGACTATTGTGCAGTTTTTGTTACTCATTTTCTATTCCTTTATTGTTTACTTAGTAACATTCAATATATACCGATATTGTGTTCAATTTTAAGAGCCAAATCAAATGCACATGTTCCCCGTTCTTTAGCGTTGGAATTCAACTATCAAGGCGAATGGGGGAAAGGGAGGTGTTCATGCTCATTTAGTCTGACCGTTCTTTCTGAGAGGTACTCATGATCTTTTTTGAACAACAGGAGCTAAACTCTGTCAGACCCTGGCATAATATCAGTGTTGCCACAGCATCCTTTAGCTCCATCCCTTCCAGCAAGCCCAAGAATCTGACATATTTTTACAGGCATTTACTGAGTTGTTTCAATCTTCCTTTGAGCTCTTGTTTTTGTTAGAGCTAAAGTCACCCAGGAAGTTTTATAATCAGATTAATCTAATTTTTGCTTAATATTAGGCAGAGACAGGACATCTACATGTATGTTAATATCAATTTTTAAATTTTATTTTTATAAGCAATTGCCCTTATACATCTGAGCAAGGAAACAGTTGTGCATCAGCAACATATTTTTGTTCCTGAAAATCAAAAAGTCCACCGTGAACTGGTGATGACAGCAGTAGTAAGCTTATGTAACTCAAAATAAATATCCATTTTCTCTTTAAAATTTTATATAGATCTAGTTTTTGTCTGAAACGTTGGCATGTTTATTTAAATTCATGTTTAAGCAGCTCAGAGGTATTTTTCAGGTAGTTGGATATTAAGATGCAATATTTCTGTCAGGGCCGGCTCCAGGCACCAGCGGAGGAAGCACGTGCCTGGGGCGGCACATGCTAAGGGGCGGCATTCCGGGCAGCAGTCCGAGTGGCTTTTTTTCTTTTTCTTTTTTTTGCTTGGAGTGGCAAAAATGGTAGAGCCGGCCCTGATTTCTGTGTAGGGCCTGACCCTCATCCCTTGCACATTCTGAACTCCCACACTGTGGGATTTCTAGGAAAACAAAAAATGCAGGATTGGGCCCAAAAATGTAGGTGCATCAAATTCAGTGGTAATATAAATGGTGGTCTTAAAGGTTACATGTCATGTGTAAGGATAACCTGCACCAAGCTAGCAATCTGAGATGGTGCAAAGTAAATGCTCAAAAACTTACCCTGATTTGACATTCTGAAATTAGACCCCAATAAGTAGATGTCACCACAACACAATGCCATTTATACTAAGCCTTCAGAGCTGGGCTCCCAGCTAGCAGCTGCCGCTCTCCAGCTGCTCAGCTCTGAAGGCAGCGCCTCTGTCAGCAGCAGCACAGAAGTAAGAGTAGCAGTACCACAGCGCTCCCCCGCCCCTTTTAATGTCAGCGCAGTGAAGTATTACTTTGCTACTTGCATCCATTTTCTAAACATCATATTGACATAGGCCAGATTCTGCTTCGAGTTACCCCAGTTTAAATCTGGAGTAGTTGCACTGAATTACATTTATTTGTACCAGTGTAAGTGGGAGCAGAATCTGACTTATAATATTTACACCACCATTAAAGTCTGTGTAGAATTTGGCCTAGAGACTCGTTTGGGAATTGCACTTACTTACTTATTTGATGCATCTGCTTGAATTTCTCTCTGTGAATACTTAATGATCATACAAACAGACTGGCCTAGATTCTCAGCTTGACCTGGTATCTGCTGTCTGTAACAGTCTGCCATGACTGAACCCAAGCTGGTTAGCGCTTCCTCATTCTGCGGCAGCTGTAGGCCAATCTTGTATAGAGCAGCTGTATATTGCAGGCTGACTATGGCCTCCAAAGGCCTAGCTACCTGATGAAAATAGCTGGAGTGCAACAGAGTTCTCCTAACACCAACTGAGGGTTTCCCTACATTAGGGAATGCCCAGCTGGGGAAATCCAGTTGCTTTCAGTGAATTTAAAATAAATCTGTTAATTAGTCTCAGAGTTAAAACTAATTAAAAACTGTGCCCTTTTAGAACTGTAGCATTATCTGTGTCAGTCAATTCCTTGTCCTAAAACTTAATAATGGGGTAACGTTAATAAATGAAAGTGCCTTGTCTTGGCTATGTTTTTACAGCGGGATAGCTGTGTGTTAATTACCCCTCAGTAAAAACACACCTTATTTATTGTCAGTGAAGACATAGCCTTAAGTGAAACCCTGTAGTGACACTGTAAGGGGTACTGGGTCTACAAAGCCTGACCATTTTCCATTTATCTTCATTATACAGAACAAAAATTCTGGAGAGAAGACAGGCTGGTTACTATGGATGACATGGTTTGCTGGGACATCATACAATTTTGGTTAAAACAATTTCCCTTCTGAGGTCTGGAAGAGCAGCTTTTGCATGGAAAAAAATGGAGTCAGTACAGTTTGTAGCCACTGTCCCACTGAATATGCTTCTAAGTCAATAAAAGCTAGAAATACAACAGATCGCACATGCCACCTAGATGGTGGCTATGGATGCATAATAAACAAATATGATTTTTTTTAAAGGAGAAATCCCTCATGATCCAGTTATAGCCCTGGCTGCAAGGGTAGTTAAGTACTGGAACAAATTACCTAGGGAGGTTGTGGAGTCTCCGTCACTGGCAATATTTAAGAACGGGTTAGACAAACACCTGTCAGGGATGGCGTAGTTAATACTTAGTTCTGCCTCAGTGCAGGGGACTGGACTCTAGCTTTTGAGGTCCCTTTCAGTCCTACATTTCTATGATTCTATAGCAATTGGATTCATTTCCTAATATATGATTTGTCTGTTGAAGAGATTTTGGACCTGAACTAATACCCATTGAAGTCAAGGGGATTCACAGGCACTGGCTTCCTCCTTTCCTTGGGGGTACTCAACCCACGCTCAGTCTCAGGCTCTGCACCCACTCCACCCCTTCCCCCTAACCCCTGCCCTGCCTCTTCCCACCCCCATTCTGCCTCCTCCCAAGACCCCAGCCATGCCTCCGCCCTGCCTCTTCCCACCCACTTCTGCCCCTTCCCCAAGCACATCCCATCCCCGCTCTTCTCCCTCGCTGCAGTGCCTCCTGCATGCCACGAAACAGCTGATCCATGGTGGATGGGAGGTGCTCAGAGGAAGGGGAAGGAGTTGATCGGTGGGGCCACTGATGGGTGGGAGGTGCTGGAGGGGGAGGGAAGCTGGATGCCAGTAGGTGCTAAGCACCCACTAATTTTTTTCTGTGGGTGCTCCAGCCCTGGAGTCGTTGCCTATGATGGGATTGCTTCCACTGAATTGAGCCCCAAATTTGGAGGAATGATCTACCTCGTTAGAAGAAATTATTGAAGTTCTGCATGAGGAGAGATAGGCTGAAGGTAAGGACATGAATACTGTTTTTTACTTGAAGCAATGATTCAAAACACAATGCATGAGAATTTTCTGTGAAAGTCATTCACTTGTTAATCAGTGCAAAGTCCCCACAAGTAGGCAAACTGCCAACCTTGATAAATCCAGGAAAGATTTGATTTTCTATGAAACTATGGGTCTGATTCTCCTCTCACCATCTGAGAAAATCAGGAGTAACTCCACCGAAGTCAGTGGTCCGATTCTCTAGTGCCTTGCATTGTGAGCATGTTTCCCTGTTCACCAGCTACTTGTGTATAGTCGTATGCACATGGTGCAAAACAAGTGAAAAATGGGTGTAAAGTGTTCTGATTTGATAGCATGTTACACCCATTTAGCACTGGTATTTATGGCTATACGAAGTGTATGGTGGAGAATCAATGAAGTGACATTGATATAAGTGAGCAAAGAATCAGGCAAAACAATGCTGTTTTTGTGTTGTTTTTTCAATGTTGTTGAGTCTCTTATGCTTTCCATAGGGGAATAAAATAGTAGATGGTATCCATTGAATCAGATACTACAGTGATGGTGACCATATAAGAAACTACTACATAGATAGACTTTACAGCACATTAATATATTTGTTACCTATCTTATTCATATTAATTTAATAGGAAGTAATGAATACCATATGGTAAGAAAACCCCTTTGAAAAACTATTGAATGAAATGGGTTCTTAAAAATTGCACCAGACACAATATAAGGAAATAAGCGGGTTCTTTTATATGCATTTAAAGAAATAATGGAAGGAATAACAAACCCATAGACTCTATGTGACAGATAGTGGCCTAGGAAAGAAAAAGGGTTTTGTTACATTATGGAATCAAGTGAACTTCAATTAGTCTAATGTTTAAAGCAGTTTACTTTATAGCTGTTCTTCAACAATGCTCTTACTGCGTTTTACTATAAAGGACCATAACCAACCTTGGTGAAAGCTAATTGAAGTCAATAGAGTTACAGCAGAGATG